CAGTGCCTGAGTGCTAGCCCCAGTGGGTATAATATTTGTCATCCCTGTCCCAAGGAACACATGGAAGGTCTGTGTAGTCCTCCATATAAGTTCAGATTCCCCAGTGATGTCTCTTACCAGGTAACCAGGAACCCCCAAGCTCGTGGTGTCTCCCACTGAGACTGCTTAAAGTTCCAGCCATACGATGAGTTCTCCCACACACCCTGTTTTTGTTTTTGTTTTTGTCTGTTTTTCACAGTCCCAGTTCAAAAGCTTCACACAGTCACAAGCTCCTAGCTCCCTGTTATTTTTCCCCATCAGAGACAGGAGTTTTTGCTCAGCTGACTGCCAGGCACAGACACAAGCTGGTACAGCTGTTACTTATATGCAAAATGGCACCTGCTCCATCAGCTTGTCCATTTTTGTAAGGTGATTAGAAAGAGAGAAACATGTCCATACCATCCTTTTTTTATTTTTTTTTTCTCTTCTCTAGTTTGGCTGGTACATTTTCACCCACAGGGCTTCAAGGCTTCAAGCCTCATTCCCTCTAGGTTCTTCCTGCCAGTTTTTGTCTAGTGGCTTGGGCTATTGCAGTCTCATTTCACCTCACTTTCCAGCACTTGTGCGTAAGCTCTTAGCTCATGGAGTCCCGAGCCATGGGCCACCCACATCCTCCTTGTAGGTCCACTGTATCTCTCCAATTCAGTAGAGTTTCCTCTGCCATTTTTCCCTAACTCTTCCCTGAGACTGCACTGTCTCCACTTTTTTTAAACTATCTTCTCCTGGGCTAGAGCAGTAAGCTCCCTCCCTACTCTGCCATCTTGGCAGATCCAAGATACATTACTTTTTTAAAATTATATTCTATTTAGGGAACTCAGAATTATAAAAGGTACTACTGTTTCCTTACGGATCATGTATCCCTATTTGGCTAATTTCAGAAACAAGGATGTTTGAAATTGAAAGATTTATGTGTTTGCTCAACATTAAGAGGTCATTATTAATTAAGCACAGTCAGGACAGGGACATCTGCTATTCTTTTAAATGTCAAAACTTTTCAGAATTTATTCATATCAACTCAATCAGGATTCAGATATACTTATAAACAATAGATTTTTTTTTTTGACAGGCAGAATTAGACAGTGAGAGAGAAAGAGAGAGAAAGGTCTTCCTTTTTCCATTGGTTCACCCCCCAAATGGCCGCTACAGCCAGTGGGCAGCGCTGAACTGAAACCAGGAGCCAGGAACTTCCTCCTGGTCTCCCATGTGGGTGCAGGGCCCAAGCACTTGGGCCATCCTCCACTGTCTTCCCGGGCCACAGCAGAGAGCTGGAATAGAAGAGGAGCAACGGGGACAGAATCCAGCGCCCCAACCGGGACTAGAACCCAGGATGCCAGCATTGCAGGTGGAGGATTAGCCTAGTGAGCCACGGCGGCGGCCCAAACAATAGATTTTTAATTGAAGCAAATAAGAGAAAAGTCAAGCCTATGCTCCATCATAATGTTAGTGAATAACTGAAAGCAACCTACAAATCCACAGGCAGATTAATCAGTAACTATAACTGACACATCACTGAAACATAGTAAAGTAGTTACTATTATATGTGATACTAAGAAAAAAATCTAAGGGATTTATATAAAAGAATATAGAGGCGGGCACTGTGGCATAGTGGATAGGGCTGCAACCTGCAGTGACGGAATCCCATATGGGTGCCAGTTCAAGTCCCAGCTGCTCCACTTCTGATTCAGCTCTCTGCTGTGGCATGGGAAAGAAGTGGAAGATGGCCCAAGTCTTTGGGCCCCTGTGCCCATATAGGAGACCAGAAAGATGCTCCTAGCTCCTGGCTTTGGATCAGCATAGCTCCCGCCATTGCAGCCATCTGGGGAGTGAATCAGCAGATGGAAGACCTACCTACCTTCCTCTCTCTCTCTCTCTCTCTCTCTCTGCCTATCTGTTGCTCTGCCTTTCAAATAAATAAATAAATTTTGAAAAACAAAATGAAGAACATAGTCCTAATCAATTGTAGATTTTTTTTTTTTTTATTTGACAGGTAGAGTTACAGACAGTGAGAGAGAGAGACAGGGAGAAAGGTCTTCCTTCAGTTGGTTCACTCCCCAAATGGCCGCTACACCGATCTGAAGCCAGGAGCCAGGTGCTTCTTCCTGGTCTCCCATGTGGGTACAGGGGCCCAAGCACTTGGGCCATCCTCCACTGCCATCCTGGGCCACAGCAGAGAGCTGGACTGGAAGAGGAGCAACCAGGACTAGAACCTGGCACCAATATGGGATGCCAGTGTTGCAGGCGAAGGATTAACCAAGTGAGCCATGGAGCCCACCCCTTAATTGTCAATATTTTACAAAGGACACCTAAAAGCTTACTTCATAAAATTCTCCCAGGAAAAAGCCTTACTGATGATTGACAAACTCATAAATAAAAGGAGACAATTAATATAAAATGAACCATGAGCAAGTGAGAATTGAGAAAAAACTGAAGTACATGGCAATGATTAAAAAAGAGAGAGAGAGAGAGAGAGAGAGACCATGGGGCAGGTGTTGTGGCATTGTGCTTTAAGCCACTACTTAGAAAGCTGGCATCACTCTCACTCTCTTTGTCATATTGCCTTTCAAGTTGATGAAAATAAACGTGAAAAAAAAAGAACATTCTAATAACTAAAAAAAAAAAAAAAGACATTCAGCTCTATTTCATCATGATTATGTAGCAACAATGTCAAATCTTGTGATCTGTCAAAAGAGGCCATCCATAAGTCTGCATGTTCAAATGAAATGCCCTGAATTTTTAAATTCCTCTAATTAACATTTTAAAACATATACAGACCAACCTGTTTATAGGGCCAACCTGGCCTGTAGACCCCCAATCTGAGGTCTTTCTGTTAGTAAGACTGACTTTTAGTCTGACTTAGCAGATTTCATACACCCTTGCATAACATAGTAGGGACATAGCCACACCAAAACCTTACTCTTGGATTTTATTATGTTTTCATTATATTGACTAAAAATGCTAAAGTTTCCTACATACTTGAATACATGCTCTCTGTATATGCAAACTTTTACTCCTAAAATTAATTTTTCTCTTTTCAGTTAATCAAAGGTTATTTCATAAAGACTCATTCTGTAGAGGCTGGCACTATAATGTAACAGGCCAGCAACACCAGCATCCTATGTAAGTGCTGGTTCAAGTTCTAGCAGCTTCACTTCTGATCCAGCTCTCTGCTGGTGTACCTGAGAAAGCATTCAAGGATGGCCCAAGTATTTGGGCCCCTGCACCCTTAACAGAGAAGGAATCTCCAGGCTCCTGGCTTCCTTGCGACCATTTGGGGGAGTAAACCAGTGGATATAAGATCTCTCTCTGAGCATTTCAAGCATGGAAAGCCAAGACACTGTGGCAAAAAAAGATCTATACGAAGAATCTCTGTGAGTGAAATCCCAGTGGAAAGAAGGGGCCATCAAAGAAGGATGTACTTTTCTTTGAAGAGAGGAGAGAACTTCTACTTTGATCGTGGCCCTGTCTAAATACTGACAGAGTTGTGGACTCAAAAGGCTTCCATAGCCTTGCCAGCTCATAACAAGAGCCTTGGGTGATCACTAACGTCATAAATAAGAGTGTCAATTGTTAAATCAACAATAGGAGTCATTGTGCTCTTGCTCCTCATGCAGGACCTCTGTCCTTAATGTGTTGTACTAAGAATTAACGGGAAAACTAATCTTCAAATAGTACTTTACACTTTGTGTGTCTGTATAGGTGCAAACTGTTGAAATCTTTACTTAGTATAAAGTTGATCTTCTGTATACAAAGCTAATTAAAAATGAATCTTAATGAAGAATGGGAAGAGAGAGGGAGTAGGAGGTATGACAGGAGTTGCTGTGGGTGGGCGGGTATGGGGGTAAGAACCACCATATTCCAAAAGCTGTACCTATGAAATTTATATTTATTAAATAAAAGCTTTCAGAACAAAAGATCTCTCTGTCTCTCCTTCTCTCTCTGTAAACTCTGCCTTTCAAATACATAAATCTTTTTTTAATAAAGAAAAGCAAAAAAGCATTGATAAGTAAGCGGTACATCTTGTGTAATTCCTGGAATGAATAAAATTCTATTCTGTATTATGACTACATAATAAAATATAGCAATCAAAGGAAAAGCAATCGTTTTTACCAGTAAAATATTTGCAAACTTTAGCAATTCAAATCTTAGCGAGAAATTATTTGGAAGATATCTTAAAACTGTGTCACGGTAGGAAAGCAATGCTCTTTAGACAAACCTAACTTGGATCACATTTCCAGTAGATCATACTAATTTATTCTTTTTCCTAAAAATAATTAGTCAGTTAAAAATGTTTAAAGAGGTGAAAGTTACATCACTGGGAAGCTAAGAACAGAAAGAAATTTAACCATTAACATCCTAATTTAAGGTTTTCTAAGATAGAAAGCTACTAAAGGTAACTTTTTTTAGGAATGATTTTATTTACTTTATCTAAAATTGCTCAAGAAAATAAAAAGTGGGGTGGGAGTTGTGGCCCAGCAGGTTAACCTGCTGTCTGCCATGCCAGCATCCCGTGTAAGTACCAGTTCAAGTTCTGGTTGCTCCACTTCCTATCTATCTCCCTGCTAATGCACATAGAAAAGCAGAGGAAGATGGACCAAGTACTTGGCCCCTGCTACCCATGTGGGAAACGGCCCAGATGGAGCTCCTGGCTTACGGATTTGGCCTGGCCCAGCCGCAGTCATTGCGGACACTTGGGAAGTGAACCAGCAGATAGAAGACCTCTCTCTGTCTATTCCTCTGTACGTAATTCTGCCTTTCAAATAAATAAATAAATCTTAAAAAAAAAATCCTGAAGAAACTAGCATTGCAACTATATCAAAGTTAAGACAGGTAAATGGCAAAATATTTTCCTTTAACTGACAAGTATTACGGAATGCCCACAATACAGTCAATATTGCAAAAGTTGCTTTCACTAGAAATTAATAGGTCATCTCCAGAAATAAAGAATGAAAATTTAGACTCACTTGTAAAGTACAATTTTCGTTTCTTTCAAGAAATTTCACAAATCTCTGTACAACTCCTGGCTTTTGTATAACTTGGTCTATTGGTGGATTAGGTTCTAAAAATTGAAAAAAATTAAGTTACTACATAGTTACAAAAAGATAATGATACTGTTGCTGTGTCAATTAACAGAGTACATAGAATAAATTTTCAAGAGTTCCCTGGCCCAAATTTAAAGCGCTTGAGCTACAAGTAACTGAAGACAAATGTTTTCATAATTAAAATATTTTGGGGGAAGCAAACTATACTTACTAACTATAATGATAAGAACTTTTTAAAAAAATATTTCCTGGAGTGGGCATTGTAGCATAATAGGTTGAACTGATGATAGAGATGCTTGCATCCCATATCTCAGTGCCTATTTGAGTCTTGGTTACTCAGCTTCTGATACAGTTTCATGCTAATGCTCCTGGAAAGGCAGCAAATGATGGCCAAGTATTTGGATCCTTACCACCAACGTGGGAGACCTTGAAGGATTTTCAAGCTCCTGGCTTCACCCTGGCCCAGCCATGCCTGTTTTGGGCATTTAGGGGGTAAAACAGCAGGTGGAAGATCTCTTGGTCTGCTATCAGTCTTTCCTTGTTTTTGTGTCACTCTGCCATTCGAATAAATATAAAAACAATTCCTATATAAATATTTAAACTTCCTAAATCTCTGCTTGGGATGCCTATATACCATATTACAGTGCCATGTTTGCGTCCTGATTCTTCTACCTAGCTACCTGCTAATATATACCCTGGGAGGCAGAAGATGTCTCTAGTATTTGGGTCCCTGCCACTCACATGGGAGACTAGGACAGAGATCCATGCTCATTGCTTTGATCTGCCCCAGGCTGGCTGTTGTGGCCATTGGGGAATGAACCTGTGGATGAAAGACCTCTCTGTCTCTCTCAGCCTTTCAAACAAAACATGAAAATAGGGGCTGGCGCTGTGGTGTAGTGGGTAAAGCCACCGCCTTCGGTGCCAGCATCCCATAAGGGCACCAGTTTGAGTCCAGCTACTCCACTTCCAATCCAGCTCTCTGCTATGGCTTGGGAAAGCAGAAGATGGCCCAAGTCCCTGGGCCCCTGCACCCGAATGGGGACCTGGAGGAAGCTCCTGGCTCCTGGCTTCAGATTGGCGCAGTTCCAGCCATTGCACCCAATTGGGGAGTGAACCAGGGATGGAAGACCCCTCCCTCTCTCTCTCTCTCCTTCTCTCTGTGTGTAACTCTTTCAAATAAATAAAAATCTTTAAAAGAAACTCATAAAAATAAATACATAAAAACTAGGTTTCTCCATCATAAACGTTTTCAGTGTTTTAAACAAAAAGTCTACCTTCTTCAAAATGTCAATTTCAGGCCCTAGAATCAATTAAAATCTTACAGTACTAAAACATCAACATAATAAAGCAATACACATATATTTTTAATCCTTTTACCCGGGCCGGCGCCACGGCTCACTAGGTTAATCCTCTGCCTGTGGCGCCAGCACCCCGAGTTGTAGTCCCGGTTGGGGCACTAGATTCTGTCCCGGTTGCTGCTCTTCCAGTCCAGCTCTCTGCTGTGGCCCGGGACTGGGAAGGCAGTGGAGGACGGTCCAAGTGCTTGGGCTCTGCACCCACATGGGAGACCAGGAGGAAGCACCTGGCTCTTGGCTTCAAATTAGCGCAGCGCGTCGGCTATAGCGGCCATTTGGGGGGTAAACCAACCAAAGGAAGACCTTTCTCTCTGTCTCTCTCACTGTCTAACTCTGCCTGTCAAAAAAAAATTAAATAAATAAAAATAAAAAATATAATCCTTTTACCCTCACCTTAAAAAAACTCAAAGCGAAATCATACAATTGTAGTTACCACCTTTCTTCTTTTCTTCTTTTTCTACAATGAAATTCTAAATTTACAACCTTTTCTTTATTTTTAAATTAAGGGAGAGACATTTTGTCTTGCTCTTTTTAAATGGAGAAGATGAGGTTGTGAGAAAGATAAAAAAATTAGAGTTTTCTGGGTAAAGGGTAAGGTGATGCAGGCACTGAGACTGTCACTTATATCTGAATATGAAGGTAAATATTAACAAAGATATAAGAATTCCCCTAGATATAAGAATTCAAAAATTCATTCCTCCTGGAGAATTAAAAGCAACACTGTTCTGGTTACCTTCACCTAAAAGAAAACAATTAAAGTTTAGTTGGATAATTAGTAACTATAACAGGCTTCATGAACTGTTATTAGTGTTATAGTAATTGATACACTAATAGTCTATATAATATTATACAGGCGATAAACTATTATGGAGAAGACTCAATTGTCACTACAGTAATGTAAACACAGCAAAATAAAGGCATATCTGTTTCAAGCAAGAAAAACTAAGCAAGATTTATACAAAACAATAAAGCTTTGGAGAACTTGATACAAAAGGAAGACTGACTGAGGTAAAAGGATGACTTGTGATTTACATTCAGAAAAGTAGCCGTGATATGGAAATAAAAAGATTTTAGCAAAAGTCACTATCATTACTTAAATCAGAATAAATGCTGAAACTGAGGGTAGCTGGTAGCTGTAGAGTAGCCACGAGCATACAGTAAGAGCCAACAGTAAGAATACTAGTAAACTTTTTCAAAAGGGGTAAATTTTCTTGCTGTTTTGGTTTTCAGTTCTAGTTCTAGCTGTTCTCCTACATTTCCTACACTAACAGATTAAGTAAAGGTATAGTGAGTCTGGTACTTTTCTAGGTCTAATAGATTTGGCAGCAACTCACACCATTGTACTTAAAACTTACACAAAATTGTAAAGGAAAACATTTGTACCTGCTGCTGTATGCCAAACCTGGCTAAGCATAATATTACTACAAAGAAGAAACAAAGAAAAACAACTAGTAGTAAGAAAAGATGGTTTAACAAAAACAGAATACCTCAAAGAATTACAGCGAGTATACAATTTTCGGATCAAAGAATTCTAAACCTAAACAATTTGCTCAAAGACATAAGGTATTATTTAGATATATAAATTTTTCTGGGGAACAGGAGAAAAGAAAATCCTTCAAGCAAAGCACAAATCATAATAAGGGATTCAATAACAGGGAAGTTGTAGTTGTTATTACAACATGGGTAGCAAATTCTAAAACTCTTAAACATAATTACATGAATCCTTCTAATCAGTTATAACACATATATCAAAAAGAACTTTTGAAACAGAACACAGCAATTCAAAAAAAATTAAAAATATGCATCTAGACCCTGCAAAAAATCTCAACTACCAAAACAGAAACTGAAGTTTGGTGAGGAAGGATGAAGAAACTATTCTTGATTGCATAAGTATTTCTTAACATTGCTATGTTCTTTCAGCTTGGGAGATAAGTAATGAAAAACAAAAGTTAAAAGTATTTAAGAATACATACTATAATAACAAAGCAAAGGCTGAGGCTGGCACTGTGGTACAGTAGGTTAAGCTACCCTTTGGCAGCACCAGTATCCCAAATGGGTGCCAGTTCTAATCTGGCTGCTCCACTTCTAATCCAGCTCCCTGCTAACACACCTGAGAAAGCAGTGGAGGTTGGCCCAAGTGCTTGGGCTCCTGCACCCAAGTGGGAGACCCAGATAAAGCACCTGGCTCCTGGCTTCATCATGGCCCAGCCATGGCCATTGCAGCCATTTAGGTAGTGAACTAGAGGATGGATGATCGCTCTCCTCTCTCACTATAACTCTTTCAAATAAAAATAATCATTAAAAAGAAAAAAAAGAAAGCAAAGGCAAAAGCCTTGTAATCTATGCTGACCTGACAAGAAAGATTTTTCCCTCATTTATCATGTGCTACCAAATTCTATCTCCCTTAGGCAGACAAGGTAAGTGACTCAAAAGATTTTCAAAAACCTTTTCAGCTCATGTATGTAACTGTGCATATTAGAATTACTAATTTTAAATATGAAATATAAGACAAAGGTTTAAATTTTTAATAATGAAATCTTATAAACAGTATAAAATGGGACAAATAACATAAAGAGGTAATTATGAATTATCAAGGTCAATAAGGAAAAATATTCAATCTAATCACCAAAAATGTCATACAATGAACTACTATCGCATAAACTTTTTTTTTTTTTTTGATAGGTAGAGTTATAGACAGTGAGAGAGAGAGACAGGGAGAAAGGTCTTCCCTTCCGTTAGTTCACTCCCAAAATGGCAGCTACGGCTGGCGCTGCACCAATCCGAAGGCAGGAGCCAGGTGCTTCTTCCTGGTCTCCCATGTGGGTACAGGGGCCCAAGCACTTGGGCCATCCTCCACTGCCATCCTGGGCCACAGCAGAGAGCTGGACTGGAAGAGGAGCAACCAAGACTAGAACCCAGTGCCCAAATGGGATGCTGGTGCTGCAGGCGGAGGATTAACCAAGTGAGCCACGACGCCAGCCCCTGCATAAGCTTTTTTAAAAAAAGATAACTGTGAATGTTAGTAAAAATACAGTGAAATAAATAAAACATGTATAAACTGAAGATAGCAATATAAGTTAATACAATTTATTCCTTTCAACTATTTGTATTTATGACTTGATAGTAAGGAAGTTTTAGATAAATTGTTTTCGTAGCACTGTTTATGATCATCAAAAATTAGGAAGAAATTTAATGATTATTTTGTATTCATACTCAATAATGCAATATTGTCATTAAAAAAAAATCATGTCTGGGTTAAATGTTTAGCCTACTAGCTAACACACATGCTTTCCACATTAGAGAACCTGGATTTAATCCCTCCTTCTGGCTCCTGACTCCAACTTTCTGCTTACACAGCACAGTAAAGCAGTGGTGCTGACTCAGTACTTGTGTTTCTGTCCTTAACATGGGAGACTTGGATTGTTTCCCCAGCTCCCAGTTTCAGCCCTAACCCCAGCCTAGCCCTTAATGTTGTGGGCATTTGGGGCATGAACCATTGGATGAGAACTCTGTATGTTTCTGTCTCTGAATAAATAAATAACATTTAAAAAAATCATGTCTAAAAACTACTTCTACAAGAATTTAAAAACATGTATCTCTAACCTTGCTTTTTGGTACCAGGATTAATGATTTTTCTATTTGTATCTTTAAAATTTTGTATTTTGCAATTTTTCTATGATTAATATAAGTTGCTTTCATAGTATGTTTAAAAATAGATGCTATTTTAAAGAGAAACTAGAACCTACTTTGTCAGAGAACTGTGTCTCAAAATGAAAATATAATGAAATAAAATCCTAATACAAAATCCAGTAATATCAAATGAGTATAAGGAAAATAATCCTTGCCTTTAGAAAGCAACTTTCTAAATTTCTGTGTTGCTGTTAGCTGCTGATCAGCATTATTAGAAAAAATCATCTGAACCATATCACTGGTAATAACTTCTTCCTAAAACAGAAAAAAGAAAATTTAATTAATATTTAAATATTTCTTTAAGTATTTGCTGCATATACTACCTCTGAAATATGGTAGAGATATGTATTTTAAAAATTATACCTCTGGAATGGGTACAGTGGAAGTGATATCTGGATCCTGGATAGGACTTTCTAGCATAGATTCATCATTTCTGGGCAAGGAGACATTTCTGCGTTTGAACAACTGCAATAAAGAGAAATCACTTTCTATATTGAGCTTTCCATAAAACATTCAACCAATACACAATTCCATTCATCATTTGAGTGAAGGAAACAAATTAATAATATAATTATTAAAAATATTGTAAAAATTTAGTATTTCCAAAGTCATCAAGAATATTTGGGGGCTTGTGTTGCAATGTAGCAGATAAAGTTGCTCGCTGCCTGCAATGCTGGCATCCCATATCAGTGCCAGTTCATGTTCCTGCTGTTCCACTTATTATCCAGCTCCCTACTAATGGCCTGGGAAAAGTAGTGGAATATGACTCATACGTTTGGGCACCTGACACCCATGAGGGAGGATGGGATGAAGCTCCTAGTACCTGGTTCTGCTTGCCCAGTTGTGGCTGTTGCAGACATCTGCAGAGTGATCCAGAGGATAAAAGACCTCTCTCGCGCGCTTTCCCTTTCTCTCTGTACCTCTTTATAATAAATAAATTTTAAAAAAAGGTCTAAAATAGTTAAGAGAAGTCAAGCTTTCTGGGACTTTGCACTCACAGACTGTTTTGAGTCATTTTTCAATTTCAGTTCTTTTTTTTTTTTTTTTTTTGGAAAGGCAGAGTGGACAGTGAGAGAGAGACACAGTGAGAGAAAGGTCTTCCTTTGCCATTGGTTCACCCTCCAATGGCCGCGGTGGCCGGCGCGCTGCGGCCGGTGCACCGCGCTGATCCAATGGCAGGAGCCAGGTACTTCTCCTGGTCTCCCATGGGGTGCAGGGCCCAAGCACTTGGGCCATCCTCCACTGCACTCCCTGGCCACAGCAGAGAGCTGGCCTGGAAGAGGGGCAACCGGGACAGAATCCGGCGCCCCGACCAGGACTAGAACCCAGTGTGCCGGTGCCACAAGGCGGAGGATTAGCCTAGTGAGCTGCGGCGCCAGCCAATCTCAGTTCTTTCACTAATGGTCCACCATAAGCAAAGCATATTTCACAGAATTTTGAAGGCATGTATTTCCATAGTGGATTATGAGGTACCTAAAAATCTTCAAAGAAAATCATAATTAGAAAGAATATAATGGGCAGTGTTTAAGATATTGCTTGGGATTCTCATATTCCATAATAGAATACCTGCGTTTGAGTCTTGGCTGTGTGCCAAGTCCCTCTACTCCTGATATGTACCCTACAAGGCAGCAGGTGGTTTAAGTGCTTGGGTCCCTGCCACCCACATGGGAGGCTGGGATTTGAGATCTGGGCCTGGCCCAGTTCTAATTTTTGATATTTCTCTCTCTTTCTCTCTCTCTCTCATTTTTCTCTCTGACCTTCAAATAAATAAAATTTAAGAATTTCTATTTTAAAAAAGCAAACTTTGGCCGGCGCCGCGGCTCAATAGGCTAATCCTCCACCTAGTGGCGCCGGCACACCGCGTTCTAGTCCCGGTCGCGGCGCTGGATTCTGTCCCAGTTGCCCCTCTTCCAGGCCAGCTCTCTGCTGTGGCCCGGGAAGGCAGTGGAGGATGGCCCAAGTGCTTGGGCACTACACCCCATGGGAGACCAGGAGAAGTACCTGGCTCCTGCCTTCAGATCAGCGCGGTACGCCGGCCACAGCGCTCCAGCCATGGCGGCCATTGGAGGGTGAACCAACGGCAAAAGGAAGACCTTTCTCTCTGTCTCTCTCTCTCACTATCCACTCTGCCTGTCAAAAAAAAATTAAATTAAAAAAAAAAAAAGCAAAAAAAAAGCAAACCTGTTGGAGAATAACATGATATATTAATAGACTTAGTATATCTGATTAACAAGGAATAGAAAACAATTCTCAGGAAAAAATTTTATTAATTCAATGGATAAAAATGAAAAAAAAATGTGTGTGTGTGAGGCGGGTAGGGAGTAAAGTGACATAGTAGTATCACTAAGGAAGATTTGTAAGTACATTTCTTAACTCAAAACTCAAGAAAAAAACTCTGGTTATGTATTTTTTAGTAGCTAAACAAGTAGTGCTCTTCAATCTGTACATAGATCTCCAACAAATCAATCATTTAACCACACTGTTTTGAGTCCTGACTATAATATACTAAGGGCTGTGCTACGTCCTACAGATAGGGAGAGGTAACCATAGTTCTTTTTTTTTTTTTTTTTTTTTTTACAGGCAGAGTGGACAGTGAGAGAGCGAGACAGAGAGAAAGGTCTTCCTTTGCCGTTGGTTCACCCTCCAATAGTCGCCGCAGCCGGCGCGCTGCGGCTGGCACACCGCGCTGATCTGATGGCAGGAGCCAGGTACTTCTCCTGGTCTCCCATGGGGTGAAGGGCCCAAGCACTTGGGCCATCCTCCACTGCCTTCCCTGGCCGCAGCAGAGAGCTGGCCTGGAAGAGGGGCAACTGGGACAGAATCCGGCACCCCGACCGGGACTAGAACCCAGTGTGCCGGCGCCGCTAGGCGGAGGATTAGCCTACTGAGCTGCGGCGCCGGCCAGTAACCATAGTTCTAAAACATGTATTTTTCTGCTTCCTTCATCAGTTTTAATTCATGTACATGTGGAGCATATCCTCTCACTTATAAATATTTATCAATTTAAGTGTATCATGAGATACACTCTCTCAAATGATTTTCTGGTCTCATATACAAAGAATAAACAGAGAAATTAAGACATATGGCTGAGGAGACTACAAGAGGAATAGTATGGGTAGTAAACAAAAATGACTAGGGAGCCAGCATCATGGTATAGCAGGTTGGCCCACTGCTTGTAATTGTCTTTATCCCATAAGGGTGCCAATTTGAGTCCTGGCCGCTCCACTTGCAATCCAGCTCCCTGCTAATGGCCTGGGAAAAGCCACAAAAGATGGCCCAAGTGTTTGGGCCCCTACCGCCTATGTGGGAGACTGGAAGAAGCCCCTGGCTCCTGGGTTCAGCCTGGCCCTGCCCTGGCCCTTGCTGCCATCTGGGGAGTAAACCAGCAGATGGAAGAACTCTCTCTGATGGAAGATATCTCTATCTTTCTCCCCATCTGTCCCTCTCTGTGTAACTCTGAGGTTCAAATAAATAAATAAATAAATATTTTTTTAAAAAAATGACTATAAGTGACTTCAGGGCAAGAGCTATGAAAAACACAAAACAGCAAATAAATATAATTAACATATTTTGGGGAACAAATTTTATGATAAACAGAAATGACTAAATAGACTCAAAAGTAAAAATTTCTTACCAGTGATCACATAAAGGTTTATCAATAACAGAGAAAAGTCATTCCTCTCAGTGACTAAAAGCAATAAAAGATTTTTTTAAAAGAATTTATTTATTAATTTGAGAGGTAGATTTACAGACAGAGAGAGGGAGAGACACAGAGAGAAAGGTCTTCCATCACTGTTTCACTCCCCAAATGGCAGCAACGGCCGGAGCTGTGTTCATCCAAAGCCAGGAGCCAGAAGGGTCTCTCACCTGGGTACAGGGGCCCAAGGACTTGGGCAATCTTCCACTGTTTTCCCAGGCCATAGCAGACAGTTGGATTAGAAGAGGAGCAGCCAAGACACAAACTGGTGCCCATGTGGGATGCTGGCACCAAGGCGGAGGCTTAGCCTAGTAAGCTACAACATCAGCCCCCATAGTAGAGGAATTTGAATGTATTATTCCTGGAGTCTAAAAAACTAAAAATACATTGGCTACATTCAATTTCCTAAGATACTTTTTAATTTAAAATTGTCTAACATTCAGCAATACTAATTAAACTTTTAAAACCTCTGAAAAACTGTATTGCTAAATACAACTAATTATTTTTTAAGAGTTAATTTATTTTATTTGAAAGGTAGAATTACAGAGACAAAGAGAGATCTTCCACCTGCTCATTTACTCTCCAAATGGCCACAACATCCAGGTCTGGGCCAGGCCAAAGCCTCAAGTCAGTAGCTCTATCTGGGTCTCCCACATGGGTGCAGGGGCCCAACGACTTGGGTCATCTTCTGGTGCTTTCCTAGGCATATTAGCAGGGAGCTGGATTGGAAGTGGGGCAGCCAAGACTTGAACAGGCACCAACATGAGATACCAGCATCACACACTGTGGCTTAACCAGCTAAGCCACAATGCCAGCCCCCACAATTAAATATTTAAATACACCTACCTGTTCTTCCCTCTTTTGTTTTCGAAGCTGTATTCCTTCTTCTTCTCTTCTTCTCCTCATCTCTTGAGGATTTAGCGCTTTATTCTTGTAACTTTTCATTCTATAGTTATCTTTCCCTGGACTAGCCATGGCATCTTAAGTGGAGAGAAGAAAACAGATACTGATAATTCTCTAAATAACACAGATGCTTACTCCAGGGGAATTAAATTCAAGCCTACTGATTGAATACACCAACAAAACCCATCCTGAAAACATAAACGATGAACACACTCTCACAGTCCCACAAGATTGTCATAAAATATTTTAGAAGTAACATATTTATCTTTATCTATTTTCTGCTGTTATATCAGACAGTTAAGACTGGGCATTTATAAAGGAAAGAAGTTTATTTTCAATCACAATCATAAAGGCTGGAAGGCTTTCAGGGAGGGCCACTAGCTACTGCACACATAACAGAAAAGGAGACAGGAAAGTGGGCAAGTGTAGAAGACAGACGATGACAAGGGTGTTGGCCTGCTTTATGACAATCCTCTTTCCCTGAGAACTAATCCAGTCTTATCAGAAAGATAATAATCCCTTTTAAAAGACTCACCACCCAACAGCTTACTATTTTATTCTTTTTAGTATTTTCTTTTTCTACTTAATACCATTGGTTGAACGCTTAACACAGAATTATTCTTAGGTGTTGAAATACAATTGAAAATTGATCCCTGTTAAAAATAAAAGTGGGAATAAGAGAAAAGGAAATGTAAATTTGGCAGACTCACAGAATGACAAATGCCCTAAACAGCACTCTGGCCTCAGAATCAGCCCTTAAGGCATTTGGATCAGGCTAAAAGGCCCATGAGAGCATTTCAGGCATGGAAAGCTAAGACACTGTGGCAAAAAATGACCTACACGAAAGATCTCTGTGAGTGGCATCCTGGTGGAAAGAAGGGGCCATCAAAGAAGGAGGTACCTTCCTCTGAAGGGATGAGAGAATCTCCACTTTGATTATGGCCTTGTCTAAATAATGTCAGTTTGTGGACTCAAAAGGCTTCCTTCCATAGCCTTGACAGCTCATGACAAGAGCCTTGGGTGATCACTGACATCATAAAGAAGAGTGTCAATTGTTAAATCCAGAATAGGAGTCACTGTGCACTTGCTCCCTATGTAGGATCTCTGTTCTTAAGGTGTTGTACTATGAGAATTAACAGTACAACTAGTCTTCAAATGGTGCTTTATACTTTGTGTGTCTGTGTGGGTGCAAACTATTGAAATCTTTACTTAGTATATAGTTGATCTTCTGTATATAAAGATAATTAACAGTGAATCTTAATGAAGAATGGGATGGGAGAGGGAGTAGGAAGTGGGATGGTTTGGGGGAGGGAGGGTGGGTATGGGGCAAGAACCTCTATAATCCAAAAGTTGTACTTATGAAATTTATATTTATTAAATAAAAGTTGAAAAAATAAAAAAGACTCACCTCCCAATACCAATATACTGACAAACAAATCTCAGTTTCACTGGGGACAAACTACACTCAAACCATAGAACCTGGGCCTGGCCCATGAAAATTGATATCCTTCACACATACAAAATACAATTCCATTCCCAAAATCTCAAACATGTTAATTCATCCTGGCAACAATGTAGATGTCCAAAGTTCAAGGTCTCTTCTGAGATTTAAGGCAAACTCCTTCCAGCTATGAGCATATAAGATCAAAACAAGTTACCTACTGCTGATGTACAACAGTGGAATAGGGATAAGATAGACGTTACCATTCCAAAATGGAAACACTGGCCAAAAAAGCAGTAACTGGCCTAAAGCAAGTATATTACTAGGAGAGTAGACATTAAACCTCAAAACTGCAAATACATTTTCATACCATCTGTTACCTCCTGGACAACTTGGGTGGAGACACCCAATACCTTAGAAAACCTTGAGCACACACTCAGCTTTTCTGGTCTTGGCTCATGTGGCTGATGTCTAGAGCTGGAGTCAGTTGACTGTATCTTTTCTAGGTAGGTGCTGTACACCACTGTGGGCTCAATAGTCTATAGTTCACAGAGTGATCCCAATTCCCTGGCTCCACTGGGCAATGCCCTAGTACAGATGTTCTGTGGTGACTTCAGCTCAGCAGTGGGTTTGTGCCTGGACTCCCAGGCAATTTAATACATCCTTTGAAATCTAGGGGAAGGCTATTATACCTCCACAGCTCTTGAATACTTGTACCTGCAGAAGTAGCACCACCTGCATATGAATGCTACCAAGGCTTACTGGTTGTGCCTTCTGAGAGGCAGTTCAAAACATGGCACTGTTTAGTGTACCTCTGGGCAGCACTGAATAGTCTGAGCCTATGATGTAGGTGGGAAAACTTGGAAGATCTCTGAAATTCCTTCACGTCTTCTTTCCCTTTATCCTGATGAATACAGTGTGCAACTCCCTTCAATCTGAACAAATATCCTTGCTTTATTCTCCCAAACAAGTTTTTTCCTTCACATCAGGTGGCTGTGTATGTTCCAAATCTTTCCACTCTGCTTCTCTTTTAATTCCAAACTCTGTCTTTAAACCACTCCTTTGTTTCTGAATCTCAGCATGGGAAGTTAAAAGTAACCACGTGCCCCCTCTATATTTTGCCTAGAAAATTCCCCCACTAGATCTTCTGAACTCTTAAATTTGCCCTTCCATAAAGCCAAGAGCATGGACAAAATGCCATCAATGTCTTTCTAAAAATGATAGCCTGCAGTTCCATTTCCAATATGATACTCCTAATTTCCATCTGAGATCTCAATAGCATGGCCTTTAATGTCCACATTTCTAGCAACATTCTGGTCACTACCATTTAAGCAGTCTATAAAAGGTTCCAGAATCTCTCTAGTCTTTTTGTGTTCTGAGCTCTCATCAGAATCACCCATAATCATCTTGTTCCTCTAAACTCTTTCAACCTCTGCCCATTACTCAGTTCCCAAGCCACTTTCACACTTTCGAGTATTTAGTCTTAGCAAAAGCTCCATTTCCTAGTGCTAATTTTCTCAGTGCATATCTGTTGCTTTAGCAGAACATCCAAGACTGGGTGATTTATAAAGAAAAGTGAGGTTTATTTAATTCACAGTTCTAGGACTTAAGAAGACACCAATATCTCCTTAGCTTTCAGGAGAGATTCATGCTTCTCCATGTGTGATGAAAAGCAGAAGGGCATGTAGGTATGTGCAATGAAGAGAAGACAAAGGAGTTGACCCATTTTATAATAACCCACTCTTGAGAATCAATCCATTCCTGCAAAACACATTACTTCCTCTTAAAGGCCCTAACTCCCAAAGCCCCTCCATTGGCAACTAAATTTCAATATTGGTTTTGGTGGGGACAAATTATATGCATATCACAGCAATTTATTTTTATTTTTATTTTTGACAGGCAGAGTGGACAGTGAGAGAGAGAGACAGAGAGAAAGGTCTTCCCTTGCCGTTGGTTTACCCTCCAATGGCCGCCGCAGCCGGCGCGCTGCGGCCAGCGCACCACGCTGATCCGATGGCAGGAGCCAGGTGCTTCTCCTGGTCTCCCATGGGGTGCAGGGCCCAAGGACTTGGGCCATCCTCCACTGCCTTCCCGGGCCACAGCAGAGAGCTGGCCTGGAAGAGGGGCAACTGGGACAGAATCTGGCACCCCGACCGGGACTAGAACCCGGTGTGCCGGCACCACAAGGTAGAGGATTAGCCTAGTGAGCCGTGGCACCGGCCATATCATAGCAATATTAAACAAATAAGAGATTCTGGTCTAAACACAAAGTCCCCTTATTTCACTGATTGTAAGATGCAACATCCTTCATCTCTCCCCCTCCCCCCAATTTTAACCTTTCTTAAGTAGGTTGCATTGTACATTCACTGTGAGTCAGGATATAATCATCAACTAATAGTGCTTAAAACAAAACAAAACAAAAAAACCTTCTAAATTATAGCTTCTGGCAAAAATCGAAAACCAGCCAGCACTGAAGTGTCTTCTTTTCAATTAAAAGTATTAGGATTGAGTAAGCACATCTCAACCATTTATTGGAGCCTGGTTTCTTTCACTAAAACACGGCCTTAAGAACTAAAGCCACAAGGGCCATGACTTGTGTTATGACTGCAATACCAGTTTTTTAGTACTTTAGTATAATTAGCTCTTTTGAAATACTGAAATATTTATGCATTTCATTTTTAGTTTTATTTCAACATATCTTAAAATATGAACATTAATACAAATATTTTATTATACATATTATAATATAAAATTTTACATCTGAAACATGTACTAGTTTTACTTCTAAAGAATGAATTATAAACTTCCATATAATCTAACAGAATTACCTTATATTTAGACATAAGATATGAATATCAAAATGCTCATATTATAACCTATGCTACATTTACACACAAAGAAAATAATCAGTCTACTTAAGATTAACGTGAGAGATCATTAGTGACTAGTTAATATGTTATTCTGAAAAATTCAGAGGATATACTCATGTCCAACCAGATAGAACACTGTGATTAATCAGCTTATTAAGTAAACACAGGAAATGAAGAGGCTGGCATCCAGCTTCCATCTGTGAAGTAGATGAAACACACCAAAAAAATTGGCAATTTTTTTTTAATTTACTTATTGAAAGGCAAGGAGATACAGAGATTCAGGCAGGCAGAGATCTCTCATCCACTAGTTCACTCCACAAATGCCCACAACAGCCAGGGTAGAACCAAGCCACAGCCAGCAGCCAAAACTCAATTCAGGTCTCCCACATGGGTGACAGGGCCAAAACCACTCGAGCCATCATCAGCTGCCTTCCAAAGTGTTCATTAGCAGAAAGCTGGAATTGGGAGTGGAGCTGAGACTCAAACCCAAACATCCCAACATTGGATGCAGGTGTCCCAAGTGGACTCTAAACTGCTATGCTAACCACCTGCCCTAGTGAATCTCATTGTGAGTAGTACATTAACACATACACATTAACTTCAGTGAGAGCACTGAAGATATAGCAACAAGCTGTATACCTTAGGATTCTCTGAAAGGCTTCATGGTTACCCTATCTTAAAGGATAAACAGAAATTTGCCAGGGAAGAGGATGGAAAGTGAGAAGGGAGAAAATATTCATTTCTTTTTTTTTTATAAAGTATTACT